AGAAAGGAAAAACTTGCAGCTTTTTGATCAAACGTCACGCTTTCGTTGGTCTATCCGTTATCTTAAATACCCACAGCTGGTAATAGTGCGCAAGAAGCGTAAGAAATGGCAAAATTAATGAAGTTACTCGTTCATTTCCGTGTTTTCTCAGGAGTGACCCACGGTGAAACGAGCTGCTCCCTTCGGCCCGCCTCAGTACCGCCGGCAGCCGCAACGCACGCGGGGGCCTGAACTTCCGTGGGCTTCAGAATTGCTCTTCAGAGGAGCAAAAAATAATCAGCAGTTGGTAATGATTGCAATCCAGCTACAATACTTCTTACTGTAATTTATTTTTAAATGTTCGGGGCTGAGGTTTCTCACACAGTCTCAATCCCCCAAATGGTTTATTTCATTGCTGTTTTATCACTGCCTAATATTTATTGCTCTAATCATAGACTGATGCTTTTATCCAGACTTTTTTTCTTTTTTTTTTTTTTTTTTTTGATGGGCGGAAGGAATTTTTGGGGCTTGCGTAATGTCAGGTGTAGGTACTGGAGTGTAAGAATTGCAGCAGCAGAACAGGCTAGCTCTCCACCGTGCTTTTTAACTCCTTTTAATGTTCTCATCTGTGCTATATGCATCCAAGCAAGGAAAGAAAGTGTATGCTTAAGCCAAGTTTGAGTAAAAACCTGTGTGGGATGTTTTTGAGTGTCAGGACCAATGGAAAATGGGCATTCTTTCCTCATGTTTTAAGTTCCTTTATTGTGAGTAGTTAGGTAAGGAGGACTGAGTTTTGGTAAGTGAAGCGTAAATTTTGTGTGTAGCCTTTATGAAGACTGATGTCAGCTACATCTCGAATACACAGGGTATAGCTAAGCATTTTTTGTTGATTTTGGTGGGTGTTTTTTTTTTTAATTCCTGTGTTATTACAGATGAAGAAGAAAAAGGGTACAACGATAATTACCAACTTTGCAAAAAAAGTGCCGTGCCAAAGAGGTCGCTTTCCATACTCACTCCATCATAGCCACGTAGTCTGTACTGCCAAAACAGAAACATCAACCAGTTTCATACATTCCAATGAGCAGTTCTTAGCTGGTCATTAAGTTCAGTTACTGTCCACCAGACGCCTTAGTTGAAAGAATCTGTATGCTATTGCTCATACAGATCACTCTTTACTGTATGACTTCTGATGCACAGGTGTAGGAATGACAATATTTTTGAAGTTTTGTGTGAGAAATTGCTTTGGCTCCATTTTGTTATGTAGAAGACAAGACTGACCCTACCTAGGAATATAAATGCCGGCACTTTTATTGAAGTGAAAGGGTTTGATGCAGCAAGAGAACTTAGCCCATGGAATAGCACAGCAAAGTAACGACATCCTGTATTCATTAGGAGAAAAGCTAGGTGAATTTAGGGAAATCTGAATCGATGGGGTCACTTTCTTTTATGCTCAGTGGTGGCTTTAATACTTTTTAAAGAAAATTTTTTTTCGTGGCCATGTTTGGGTGCGCATTTCATGCAGCAGAAGTTTAAGAGAACAATATTGCCCACTCATACCATACAAAGACTCCAGTGTTAGAACTACAACTGAAGCACAGTCATACCGTAAGTTCTTACCATTTACTTCATGACCAAAATCCTAGGACAACCAGGACATCGGGACCTTGTGACTTGTCCAATGCTCCGGTTTTCATACCTGACATTTGCCACATTCTCATCTTTGCAAGCTTGGAAACAGCCAGCAAAATCCTCACTGAGGGCTACTGTGCAAGGGTGTTTTCATCTCGTTCCTGTGCCTTGTGGTGCCCAGATCAAGCAAACCAAGGAACGCGGTTCTTGGGGCTGGCTCTCAGTCATTCCCTTTGGTAATAGCGTGTGCGCTGCCTGCGTTAGTGGAAAGGGAGGATGAAACTCAGGCATGCCAACAGGCTGCTGTCTTCCCAAGTGCCCCCCTTTATATTTCATGGTTTATTGGAACATGTGAGAGGCTTTTATAAAAATAGGAACCTGCTTCAGAAATTGTTCATTGTAGTGCTTTACAGCAGGGGATGGGAGAGGATTGTGTAGTAGAATACGAACGAAAATATAATTCAGCTTTGTTCAATATCTATTGAAAAGCAAACAGAAACTTACTTATCTACCTGTAGTCTTCAGTATTTTTTTTTAGACAGGTGGAGAAACTGTCATATTTTTCATTTCTGCCAATGTTAATTCATATTGTATAGTCAAATGAGCAGCCACACCAACCTCAGTGGGATTGTGTGTTTAAGTGCTGCTTATCATGACATACCAATGGAACCGAGCTTAAACTGACATTTAAGAAGTGATTATCCACTCAGGCCATAAAGAAGAAACTATTTTTACAATGGAAAAGTTCCTGTTGTGTGTACATGTAAAGAATTAACTCCATTGATTAACTCAACTTTTAGAACAGCCTAATTAGAACAGCTCCTGATAAGGAAACATGGATTAATGACTGTTTATTGGGATGCAAATAGAGTGGAAAAGAACTAAACACCGACTGGGAACTCAAGGTAAAAAGAAATTCAGTTTGTGAATTCCAGTCGACATTGCTCAAAAAACTTCCGTACAGCAACAGAACTGCTTAGCGCAGAGAAAGGAAGGGAGGCCGCAGGAGCCGCTGTTTTCTCCTGTTGATATAACGTTATTAATGTTGATGGCATTTCTCCAGCAAATGTTTCACATAAATCATGTATCATCACTTGTGACAGAATGATGGCATAAAGGAATATTACAGTTGCCCTGTGATCTTCCTTAAGCTAATTGCTTGCATAGGTTTCATTAGTTTTCAACTGACAGGAAAAAGACTGATTAAAAACATGGATTTATGTTCTGCTGTACACTTCTCAGATGGGGTTAAGGCTTTTAAATCTTCTCCCTCTCCTATGTCTTTACCCATTCCAGATCTCTGTAATGTCCTTTTTCTATTATTCTGATCTCTTCTATCTCTTCCCACATGTAGGGTTGTTTGCCACATCTCTAACTCCATCCTTTCCATCTTTGTATTCCACTGGTTATCAGTCCGTTGGTCCTTCCCTTTCCTTGCTTCTTACGGATCAATTCTGTCTTCAAAGCTGCATGATTTCTGGGGCTTTCTGCACCCATTTAGGACTCTCACAGTTGCCTATCTTCATCAGTACTCTGATTTCTAACTCTTGTCTAATACAGTGTTTCCAGACCTGTAGTCCTTAACGTTTTGTTTCTTTGTTTTCAAGAAGGACGTGGTTCTAATGCTTTGATTTGAAAAAAAATGAGGACAGACCTACCTAGCCCATGCCTAGATTGGCGCCCCAGGTCTCAGCTACTGCTGGTAGGTTCCTGTGCTTCGATTTCTCACGAGGGAGCCTCACTGCCCACTGCACACATGGATTGCTGACGTATGGAGTGCAGAAAGCAAAACCTGTCTGTTGCTGAGGGCTATCCTGCTCTCATAGAAGAACTTTAAGACACAGTGACAGCTAAGAAGCACCAGACAGTGGTGCAACAGAGCCTACGTACAGCTACGAGCCGGGGCAGCTCTCAAGCTACTTAGAAATGAGCATTTTTCTGTTCTTTGGCACCTGCCGCTGCTGCAGTACAGCAGTCCTGTCTGGCGGGCCAGAATCCATTCACCACGGTGCACTGCTGCGAGCATGTGTTGTCGATCGCAGCATTCCTAGCAGTTTTGTCTGCCAGTGTCAGCATCAGGTCTGCTGGTCTCCTCGCACGCTTTCGACTATTTTATTTTAATTCCTCCTCGTTTCCTGATTGTTGCCTGCTATTTTTCTGCTGTTGCTGCTGTTCTTC